TTCTAGTGTTCAAACATACTAAATTAGTAGACCTCTGTGAGGGTTTTTTTTTTTTTTTGCTGAGTCAGGGGATTAAAGGCTTGTGCAACCACACCCTTTTTCACTGTAACTCTAGAACTTAGAAAACAACTAACATATAGAGATCTGCTAGTCTCTCCTTTTGAATGTGGTCTACACAAAAATGCTGGGATTGCTTAGCCTGGTATGAAAAACTAATAAAATGGGCTCATACGTTAATTAGAAGGGAGTTTAATTGAAGTCAAATACATAGAAAAGGATGTTAACTCAATTTCTATAAAATGAAAGGATATATGTATATATATACACACACACATACAAATACACACACACACCTGTAGGAGGAGCTAAGGTAGGGGGTGTTAGGAGAGGAAGAGTACGGAAGAGAGGAGGAAAAGGAAGAGGAGGAGCTAGGGGACAGGAGAGGAGAATGAGAAAGAGAGAGAGAGAGAGAGAGAGAGAGCGAGTGAGCAGATGGAGGCAGATGTTCACATGTCTGTAGCAATCCAAGGTAGTTGGTATATCTAGGTTGGATATTGGGTTACACTTCTGATTGTATGGGTATCTTGTTACTGATCATTATCAAATATATGGACCTTTGATTAATCTTTAAGCATTAGAGTCTCATCTTTCTACTGAGTCTGCGTGGATGGCGGGATAGCCTGGGCAATGCCCAGTCTTGTGGAGACAGCATGGATGATTGGCAGAGCCATCTCCCACTCTGATTTCTCATGGGTTATAATATTAAAAAATCCTTTGGGAGAGACACCATAATAGCACAAGAATGAAGAAAAGGAGGCTGCTCAATGGGATCAATCAATATCTTTGACGATTTGGGGTTACTGAACCAAAAACATGCTATTTTGGCAAGATAGGCTCTGCCTTGTTTTAATAGAAAGAAGAAAAGGCTTTGGACCACTTCAAGGTGGATATGGTCAGATATGTTAGGGGAAGACTCATGAAGGTCTTGGCTACAGACAAGAAACGTTCAGAAGAATCAAAGTGGACAGGTAACTTGATTTGTTGATTCCTCCACATGGGACCAGTCCTGTAACTGGCTTAGGCATAAAGATGACATTGAAATTGAAGACATAATAGATATGGCTGCAGATGTAACAATAATTTTCCAACATCTTTGCATCCAGATGGCCTCCTCAGAGGGTAAATATTCTGCTTCTAGGGACTTTATCTATGGTGAAACAACTTGCACATGAGGTCAGGTGTATAGAGCCAGAAGAGTACATATATAAATAAAAACAATATGTGGCCAATAGAGCATGAATTTATTGGGGTGTGAGTTGTAGCAGCAATGGAGAACACAGATTAGCATTCCTCTACTCTCAGAAAATAAATAATCATATATATATATATATATATATATATATATATATATATATATATATTATCCCTTTTCTATTTATATTCATGTAACTAGTATTCTTTTCTTTCTTTCTTTCTTTCTTTCTTTCTTTCTTTCTTTCTTTCTTTCTTTCTTTCTTTCTAAACTTATTTATTTATTTTGGTTTTTCCAGACAGGGTTTCTCTGTGTAGCCCTGGCTGTCCTGGAACTCACTCTGTAGACCAAGCTGGCCTTGAACTCAGAAAACCACCTGCATCTGCCTCCCAAGTGCTGGGATTAAAGGTGTGTGCCATCACCACCCCGCATTATTTTCTATATTTAACTTCAATTAAATTCCCTTCTATATTCTGTATAACCTATTTTTCAGACCAGTATATGTGTCAAGTACTAGGCTAAGCAGTCCTATTATTAACGTGGAGAACACTGAAAGAACCTAGTAGCTTAAGATAGCATTGAAAACTTACATTCTCATTTCTTCTCCATTTTTATTTTGATTGTGAGAGGCATGCAGCAATGCTTTCTGCCCTCTGAGCAGCCTACTTCATTGCACAGCAGAGATCCTAGCATCAGCACAGAGCCCACCACCCAGTGTGTTGTCCGGATCCACGTGGGGGGTAAACCTGTGTCTTAACTTATGCCATGAACCCCAGGATTTTGTGCACTCAGTTAGCAGGAATTTTCTCCTAGTCCTAAACACCGTGTGTCTTTGAGAAAAAATGTACAGCTAGAAAACCAGTTCTTCCTGTCTCCTAAGCTTAAATGGATGGCATATTCTTCCATTTGGCAATCTCAAATCAATTTTTTAAAAGTGAGGTTTTTGCCAGATATTGAGATGCCATATGTTGTAGAAATGTTATAATCCTGGTCCAGGGTTTCAACCTCGCCTTTACCATTTAGTTCCTGAACAGAAACCCACACAACTTTGATATTTACAGTAAGCCTCACATAGTACAGGATGGTTGACACATAGCACTGATGGTATCAGAATCTACTTTTCTATTGATAACCTTGAATTATTTAATGTTAGATATACTTCATCCAGGCTGTTCTAAACTCCTATTGGCCAGCTCACAGAGTCACTTTTTATTTTATTTACTTTTTTCAATGGCTCCCCTAACCCACAGCAGCTGCTTCTTTTCCCACCTGCACGTTCTTCTTCTCCTGGTTCTCCTCTGATCCCAAGCCCAGGAAACCTAAATGGTACCCGTGTCCCTTCTGACTAGCTATTAGCATGTTGGCTCTTTATTGACCCATCAGAAATGATGTGGGGCAGGATCCCAGGGGCTAGGTGCACAGTCCAGGTCTTGGGGGCCTGCACTGTCAGGGGCAGCTCTGCTTATACACTGAAGGTCTAAAAACAGCCGTAGGCCTAAAAGTCAGCAACAGGCCTGACATACATGCCTGCTAAAACAAAGTCTTGGGTCTCTGTGGAAAAACACTGAAACAGATGCTTAGAAACTATTGTAAACAAGCAGGTTTGGTGGAAAATTGCCAAGGCTGAATAGTCATAGACCTTGTAAAGAGGTAACCTTGGTGGATAGTACCAACTTAGTAAAGGACAAGTGATTCATAGAGTCATAGTGATATGTCCCCTAAACCTTCATTCAGCTGATACTGTTCTGGAAGATATCTGTAATCGCCCTAAACACCCATGCTCCTGCATCATCCTCTTCCCCACATCCTGCCTTTTTTGTGTGTATAACCTCGGTGTGAAAATGTAAAAATTGAGATTTGATCAAAGTATAGCCAGATCACCATTTTTTGTGTCTGTCTGTTTTCCCCCATGTTCTCTTTCAGGTGACCTCCCTGGAACCCTGTTTAATGCCCTACTGGACAGGACACTGCACTTAGCATTACAATAGATAGTAAAAGACAAAACCTCAACACATACTAGATAAATCACAGACATTTTCTAAGTTAATGAGACAGTAAATAGCTAGAGCTAAGCAACGTATGCCTATGCAAATATTCTGAGAATGTTAGATGGTCTTCAGAAACATCAGAAATCTGTAGAATATGGCATTGAAGGATGTTTTATGAATTTTGTAAAATCAGAAATGCTAGCTCTGGGCAAACCCACAGAGTCCTTTGAAGATGATGATGAGCATTGAAGAACCTCCTTATGGAGTTTACTGCAAATGTGTCAACCTGCCAGTGGACAAGAAACTGCCCTTGCCTCAACTTCTGACCATATGTTGACCAAGCTGGGGACAAGCAGGACACAAAGAAAGTCAACTGCCAAAATTTTTCAGGACAAGGGAGAGAACTCCTTCATATTTGCTGCTAAACAGAAAAAACTGTCAGATGTTCTGGGCCAATAGGTTGAAGAGATAAATGCTCCAGTGTTGCAGGGGAATCTGTGTGACCGTCAGGCAGCCAGAAGTCACTAACCTTTCTATAGTTCTGGACACTGCTTGCTGTACACCTGTGTTGTTCATGTAGATATGTGTGTAGACATGTAAGTAAAGAGGAGAAGAAATACTTTTTAGCCAAGGGGGCAAAATGCAGGACAATAAAAGGGAAAAAGTACACGATTCATGTGTATTAAATGTCACATTGCAACTTGCATTTGGCATGAAGATTTAGTAAATATTCTAATGGTAGTAATAAAATATGCACACAAGAGCAACTTGAAGGGTTTAATTTGGACCATAGTTGAATTTCATTGTCTCCCACTGTCTTAGTTAGGGTTTCACTGATGTGAACAGACACCATGACCAAGGCACATCTTATAAAGGACAACATATATTTGGGGCAGGCTAGCAGGTTCAGGGATCAGTCCATTATCAATGTGAGAGCAGGGCAGCATCTAGGCAGGCATGGTGCAGGCAGAGCTGAGAGTTCTACACCTTTATCTGAAGGCTGCCAGTAGAAGACTGACTTACAGGCAGCTAGGATGAAGGTCTTAAGTCCATGCCCACAGTGGACACCCATTCCAAGGCCACAACTCCTAACAGTGCCAATCCCTGGGCAGAGCATATACAAACCATCACAACCATGGATTCTTACTCAGTGTTCTATAGCTATGAAGAGATACCAAACCAGGACAACTCTTATGAAAGAAAGTATTGATTGGGGCTTGTTATCAGTTTCAGAAGTTAGTCCATTACTGTTGTGGGGAGCAAGCTAGGTAACACATTGCAATCCAGGCAGACATGGAGCTCCAGAAGTAGCTGAGAATTATCCATACTTACGCATAGTCAGTAAAAGAAGGAGACACTGGGTCTGATCTTTTGAAATGAGGCCACACTTCTTAATCCTTTTCCAGAAGTGCTACTACCTGATGACTAAGCATTCAAATCTATGAGCCCTTAGGGCAATTCTTATTCTAACCACAACATGTGGTGAGAAAGTTAAAACAAGAGGCACTTAAAGCAGCTGGTCATGTTCCTTCCACAGCAGGAAGGAGATGTAAGAGTACTTGTTCTCAGGGTATTATCATATACTGCAGCATCTCAGTCAAACAGATGCTTGCAACCACAATCAACAGGCCTTCTGAAATCAACTAAAGTAATCAAGATAAATCCTACAAGTCAACCAGAGCCTTGCAACTCAAATGATTCTAGAACTCATGGTGCTAACAATTGACATACTATTCTTGTCCACATAAAACACAAAGTCATTTCAAAAGTGTAGTTTACGTTTATTTATTTCTGGGCACACAAATTTATGTTTGTGTGGGGGCCCATGCATGGAGGTCAGAGGACAACATTCAGAGGCAATTACCTCGTTCTATTTTGTGGGTACTGGGATTACTAACATGGGTGTGGGTCTTGTTAACAATTCAGTTTGTTCCCAAACATGCTAGCTCTCTCCTGAAAGCTTTTAATCATAACACTCCTTCCCTTTCCCCAACTTTACCCTCACTTCATAAGTAAATAGGCTACAACTTGACAGGTCCACAAAGTATTTAATAATTACAACAGTATGAAAGACCACAGTCCATGTGTCATGTGAGACTCAAGGCAGTCTCTTAACTGTGAGCTCCTACAGTATACAAACAAGTGACGACTTTTCTACATCCTGGTATACAAAAAGGGTTTCAATTCTAAAAGAAACAAAAGACACCAAAGAAGGATCATCCCCAAAATCCAGGTGTCTGACAGCTCCACTTTTGTCATGATTGTATGAAAGATTCCAAAGCCTTTACCACATTCCTCAAACTTATAGGGCTTCTATTCAGCATGAAGCTGTTGATAACTTTTAGGGTCTGAAGAAGTGTTAAGATTATTTCAACATTTTAACATTTGAACTGTTTCTCTCCAGTTTGAACTACTTTGTGCCAAGAAATTTAAGAAAGCTTATTAAGGCGTTTGCAGTATTTTTCAGTGTATTATGAATGAGGTTATTCCCAAATTTTCAGTAAGTCCAAAAGACTTTATTACATTCTCCACACTTGTGTTGTTTCTCTCATAGATGAAGTCTTTAATGCGGCTTGAGACCAGAAGACTGGTAAGAATAGTGTTTGCCACATTTTTCACATGTGTAGTGTTTATCTCCAATAGGAATTATTCTCTGTTCAGACCATGCAGTGGAACTTCAAAAGAATTTACCACATTTTTTGCATTTGTATGGTTTCTTTCCAGAATAAATTCTTTGGTGATCCCTAAATTTGTTGAGCACTTTGACATGTTCTTTTCATTTGTAAGTAGTCTCCATATTGTGAGTTAATTTTTGTAGATATAGGTATGACTTTGTAAAGGAGGCTTTTCACATTCCTCAGGTTTGTATGGCTTCTCTCCAGAATGAGTTATCAAATGAGGGAAAGAATCTGGAAAGCTCTGAAGGATTTGACTGATACATCACAAGTTCAGGGTTTCCACCTGTATGGTTTCTCTTTTTTTTTTTCCAAAAATGTAATTATGGACCATGGAAGGCCAGGTCACATATTTGTTGGGTTTCTCTTTTGTATGAATTTTGTTATGTTTGTAAAGTTTTGATGGATAATTAAAGACCTTGTGACACACTTCACACTTGTAATGATTCTCTTCTGTATGAATTACCTTGTGTTTAGAAAGTAATGATGGATAATGGAAGGCCTTCCCACCTGCTTCACACTTTTTTCTTTTTTTTTTCTTGTATGAATTTTCTTATGGGTGGAAAGTTCTGATGGATAACGGAAGGCCTTGCCACATACTTCACATCTGTAGGGTTTCTCTCCATGAGTTTTCTGGTGTTCACGAAGTGATGATGAGGAGTAGAAGACCTTTCCACATACTTTACACTCGGAGGGATTCTCTTCTGTATGAATTATCTTGTGTTTAGAAAGTAAGGATGGATAATCGAAGCCCTTGCCACATACTTCACAGTTGTAGGGTTTCACTCCTGAATGCATTATCTTGTGTTGACGAAGTGATGACTCACAGCGGAGGAACTGTCCACATATCTTACACTTGTAGGGTTTTTGGTCTGTATGACTTATCTTGTGTTTTGAAAGTAATGATGGAAAGCGGAAGGCCTTGCCACATATATCACAATTGTAGGGTTTCTTTCCTGTATGAATTAACATGTGTTGATTAAGTGATGGTGGGGAGTGGAAGGCCTTCCCACATATTTCACACTTGTATGGCTCCTCTTCTGTATGAATGCGCATGTGAACATAAAGTCTTGATGAATAACTGAAAGCCTTGCCACATACTTCACACTTGTAGATTTTTACGTGAATTTTCTTATGTTGAAAAAGTCTTGATGGCCCATGGAAGGCCTTGCTACAGATGTCACACTTGTAGGGTTTTTCTCCTGTATGAATCCTTTTGTGTTCAGAAAGTACTGATGGAAAACGGAAGGACTTGCCACACTCTTCACATTTGTAGGGCTTCACTTCTACACGATGATTTTGAAATGCTTCTTTCCCCTCAAAGACATTACCACAGTCTTGGCAGGGATAGCAGTTTCCCCCTGGTGAGTAACAGTTGAGAAATGAATGAAAACAGAGCAAAAATCTGTATATTTATACTAATAGCTTTTAAAAAACCAACATTTACTCATGCTTGCATTTGTCTGTATTAATCAGAAGCTACATTCCATTTTCTGTACCTGTTTTCAGTGCAGTACAATTTAAAACACAGAATAAGTGAAAATCATGTAGACTTCCTTGAAGAAAGAAGACGATGGCAACATACAACACAGAACGAATAGAATATTAAACAAAATCAAACAAGCATGAAGGAATCATATCCACTAAGAAAACCCATAATGGCATTATGCAAATGCAAATCAGCTCCTTAAAGAGATACTGAAATTTCATGAGTACCTAAAATTAGTCTAATTTGGAAAACACCTGAATAAACAATATTTATATATTATATGTATATATAATATTATATCTGTAGTCTATAGAGTTTTCTTTCATGTGCCCTTCCCCCAGCCTTGAGCAGGCCTGAGAGACCTTGTTTACCACAATAGACCAAACAATAGGACTTTGCCTGTCTTGGCATTGCCTGCCTTGGCACCTCCTTGGTTTTCTGTAGCCTGGTACAGAAGCTGAGAAGAATAGACTGCCTGCTGAGCTTGCCTTGACATCTCCGGCCCACAATTAAGTATGGATTCCTCTCACCTCCAGCAGGTTGATTTCTGCCCCCAGCCGGCTGAAGCAGGAAGGAACTCTGGGGGTGGGGGTGGGTTATCCACTTTAAATTAGAGGCTGAACATTAAAGCAGTGAGCCTCGATCAGAAACCTTTGTCCTGGCTTCATCTCTTCCTGCCCTCCTGTCCCTTCTTCCATTCCCAGCCCGTCTTTCAGGTGAACCCGGTCAACTGTGGCCGATGGCCCTCAACAGAATGGCTCCGGACTTGGAGCCTGAACACAGGAGACCAGCTGAGGGACGCTGTCTTGGGTAGAGCTCTACGGAAAACGGAACAAGAAGAAGAGTATCCTGGACACTTGGTAAGCAATGAACAGCATTGATGATAGCTATGGCTGTGTTTGCAGGAAGTGTATTTAAGGGGATATAGTCTGGGTGAATTAGGTATTGACCCGGTGCCTATGTTGCCTAGGAGGTGACAGTGAATTATAGGTCAGGAGAATTCTAAACAGGCATTGCCCACAGTCTAAGAGCTGCTTCAGGCGGGAAGAGCAGGGTTAGAAAGAATTGGAAAATTAAGAGCACTGAGGTGTACTATCAATAGCTGCCTGCTACATCTCCAAAGAACGAGATGAAAAGTTATATCTTGAATATAAGAGGGAGAAAGGGTTTCAGAAAAGCAGTTGTCCTCTCTCTGAGCTGTGTCAGCAATAGGGAATGAAAAGGCTATTTCAGAGCTCTCCTAGGAACAGAAGAGAATTCGGGAGACGTCCGGAATTTCTCTTTGGCTCCTAGAGGTCTTTCTTTGTTGTCTGTCCTTGGTGCACCAATATCCACGTGTGTCAACTGTTTGGTTTTTGTTTCATTGTCTAAATGTTTGTTCTATGTTGCATGTTCAAAAGAAAAGATTGTTAAAACTGCTTGATCCAAACCTTGGTCTAGTTTAACTTTGTTTTAAAGGCAGTCTTAATGTGTACAGATAGGTTACCTGTAGCTAAGAGTCGAGCTGAGCTGGAAAAGCCTTTTCAGAAATTGAGTGTTTGCATAAGCTGCTCTTAAAGGGATCAGCAGCATTTTGGATTCTATAAGGAAGCTGAGAGTTGTTTGTCTCAGAAAAATCTCTGTGACAAGGTGCCTTTCTCTTGAAATTACAGCTAGAAAAAGCAAGAAAATTTTGTTTGGTCTGAATATATAAGATGTGTAGCCACTTCATTGTTGTTTCTGATTGGTTTTAAAAGTATAAATATGTTCTACATGTCTTGGTTATAGATTATTGGCTTATAAGTTATTGGGTGTGATTCAAAATTTCCAACTTTGGTAACAGAAAGTTGGCTTAACTGGTAACTCAGGGTTAAAATCATTCAGAAACCAGATGTAGAAAAAATAAGATTTTAAAACAATGTCTCTTCAATGAGATTAAAAGCTGCTTCATGCATTCATATATTAGAATTGACAGCAAATCTTTGTAACATAAAGGTAATTTCTTTGCTATTGATTTTATAGAAAATAGATTGTTTACATTGTTTTTGCTTTTGGTTTTGCTTCTCAAAATTACGGTAATTCTCTAACAAAAGAAACTTAAAAATATAAGTAAACTGCCAGTATTCAATTGGTTACAGTTGGCAGTCCTAATCTTGAGTTTGGGATTTTTTTGATTCGCCCATGATTATAGAAAAGAAGAGACAGCAGTTAGAGTTAAATAAAGGTATTTAAAACAAGTTGTGATACAGTGCTGGCCTGCAGGAAGGTTAATCTTCGCACCAGGCCTCAGAAAACAGGCCAAGATTAAGAACATTTGCATTTACATTAAGACAAAGCAGAGTGGGCTCAGCAGAAGCTTGGGTGAGACATTCCTTTTGTCTTGGTCTTCACAACCAGCCCCTAGAAAGGTGTTTTCAGGAATTTGTTGATTGCCTTGCTTGTTCCTTGTGGGGGAGGCGGCAGCCTCAGGCCCAAAATTCACAACAGTTTATGGGCCAGGAGTTATTATGTTGGAGAAATTAAATTTATAATTGCTTCCCTCCATGGCATTGTAACTACCTGCTGGCAAAGGAATTCCTCAACTTGTTTTGAGTCCTTCCTTCCAAATTTGTTGAGAGTGATAAAGGACAAGATGGCTTTGGTTCCTCTGATGTGTATTGGGTCCGATCTATTACAAACCAGACCTAATCTTAAGTTAATAATTGAAGGAAAAAGGTTTTGAAGAATTAATAGATACTGGGGCTGATGTAACAATTATTAGAGGACAAGATTGCCTTCAGCTTGGCTTTGATCTGATACTTCACTCAGCTAAAAGGAATTGGTTATTCAATTAATCCAAAACAAAGTTCAAACTTAAGATTTGTGAAACTAATGGGACATTACAGCCTGACTTGCCTACTTCGGTTGCCATTCTAGTAAATACATATAGAATTATTATAGATCTAAAAGATTGTTTTTATTGTTCCTTTACATCTTTGTAAAGGTGGTGAGGTTTAAATTCAGTAAATTTACTTATGATTTTTGAGAGCCCATGAAACGATATCATTAGAAAGGTTGCCTCAAAGAATGATTAATAGTCTTATATAAGAATTTGTTGTTGCTTTAATACAAAAAGTTAAGCATTTAAATCTTTCAGTATATATTATTCATTGTATATTTTATTAGCTGATCTCTCTAAAAGAGTTTTTCAACAAGCCTTTACTCTAGTAAAATGAGCTTTAAAATTTTAGAGTGCTTATTGCTCCAGAAAAGATTCAAAGACAATATCTTTTCAATATTTGAGAACTCAGTTACATCTTAAGCAGATTGTAGCACAGAAAACTTCCAATAAAAATAGATAGTTGGGGCTAGAGAGATGGCTCAGCTGTTAAAGGCTAGGCTTACAACTAAAAATATTAGTGTTCAATTCCCAGCAACCACATGTTGGCTCACAACCATTTGTAGTGGGGTCTAGTGCCCTCTTTTGGCTTACAGGTGTACATACAAAAAAATGGTTTACTTGTAATGACTCTCAAAAGTGGTTAGGAGATATTAATTGGATAAAACCTCATCTTCAGCTTACCATAAGAGAACTTGAATCTCTGTTTGATATTCTCAAGGGGGATACAAATCCTAATTCCCCTCGACAGTTAACTGATGAGGATGGCTTTATAGAAAGTATAGAATAAGCTGTTAGTTATCAAAAGATAAATTATATGGACTATGATAAATTGTTCGCTGTTTTCATTATTGGTACTCATGTGCTCACAGCAGCCCTTTGGCAAAAGAAACCATTAATGTGGATTCATCCTTCTTCATCTACAAGTAAAGTTTGGACATCCTAATATGAGACTATTGCAGTGTTAATACAGGATTGTAAGATAGAATCCTGAAAGTATTTTAGATGAAATGTTAATTCCTTATTCCAAATAGAAATTAAGTTGATTATTGGAGAATGATATTTGGCCTATTACATGGCAAACTTTTTAGACAAATTTGGTAATCATTATCCATAAGACAAGTTGTTACAGTTTTTTCTCTATGCATGCTTTTGTATTTCCTATGAATTTACATACACCCCATAGGAAAGATGTTTACTGTATTTACAGATGCCTCATCTATTGAGAAGGCAGTATATGCAATTATATCACATGTTCATTTTCTTGAATTTTCCCCTGCTTCAGCACAAATAATTAAATTATGTGCTGTAGCCACTGTTTGAAATGCTAAAAGTCAAGCTTTAAATTTATATGCTCATAGCCAGTATATGGCTCGTGGTTTATAATTGCTTGAAATTGTTCTTTTTTTTTTTTTTAGATATTTCTAATTCTCAAATTTTACAGTTATTTATAGAAATACAGCTTAATTTAAGAAACATGTACTGTTCTTTAACTTTATAAGACATTTAAGAGCTCATGTTGGATTGCCTAGAACCCAGGACAATGCCAGAGCAGATTTGTATACCAGTCAAATTATAGACCTTAAAGAAACAATTGGCCATATAATCTTATTCTTTACATGGTCAAAATAATAGTAGCTTGAGACAATAATTTGGTATTTCTAGAAAGTGTACAAGTTAAATTACAAAAACTTGTTCTCAGTGTCCTCAAATTTTTCATAATGGTGTTAAGCCTTGAGGACTTATACGTGATCAATTATGGCAAACAGATGTTACTCATTTTTGATTTTAGAAAATTAAAATATGTACATGTGACTTGATACCCTTTTAAGCTTTTCAGTTGCAACTACTTTAACAAGAAAAGCAACTAAAAATTATAATTAGTTATTGCCTACATTATTTTTCGATGCTTGGTATTCCATATCGGATTATAGACAACGGAACTGGCTATTACAGTCAAAATTTGAGATGTTTTGTTGACAATTTAATATTATCCTTATTACTGAGATTCCTTATCCTCAAGGACAAGGAATTGTGAAAGAGAGATTATGGAACTTTAAATAAAATCTTGATAACTCTCTTGAGTGTGGGAGGAACAGCTACTGGTGCTTCTTCCCTGGTTTTGCAAGGAACTCTGAAAAATTGGCTTTTAAAAACTAAAAAGGGGGAATTATACCCCCCAAGGTCACCAAAAGCACAGCTTGCTTTTGTCTTATTTTAAATTTTCTGCAGACTGATGCTAAAGGTCAGTCTGCAGCGGATCGCCACTGGCATCCAGTTACTTCCAGCTCATTTGCCAGGGTCATGTGGAGAGACCCCTTAACTAATACTTGATGTGGTCCCAACCATGTTTTAATTTGGGGGCATGGCTCAGTATGTATTTTTTCAGAAAAAGAGAACGGAGCCCGATGGCTCCCTGAAAGACTGGTCCATCAAGTGGACACAAGTCTTGAGCCTAATAATTGTGATTCTGATGATGATGGCTGAAAATCCTTATCTACCAGCTGATTTAACCTGGGATGTAGTCTCCATCTATACTTAAAGCCACCCACTATACGTGGTGGCCAAAGTTTGTGTCTAAATCCCTGTCAACCAGCAGTTGGATTAGACACTGGTACATTTGGCTTCCAACCTTATTTCCTACATTGCTTGGATAAATCATGTTGCTTTTAACCTTTTAAACCTTGTGTCTCAAGCAGATAAGTTGCGTTCACATAGGATCACTGTCAGCACGCTCAGCTTTCATCATGGCAGTTATCCATCGCTATGAAGAATTGCATCTAGTGCATGCCCACAGGTCCTTTGGTCTGAATGTGGTTTTGGTCTTATGGGAAAGAGTGTGCCACTGATGGCCGGTTAGTCAGAGACGGGTAAGAGTGTCTTGAACTCCTATAAACCTAAGACAGAGGCTTACATCAATATGCTATGTATGTTCCTCAAAGACGGGTAATAAGGAGTAATATAGATGCCAACCTAAGCCAGGCACAGTTGCCCGGGCACTCTGTACCCTAGATAGGATGAAATATTGTACCCCATCCAGCTGCTGGCGCTGCTCATATCTTATAAAACTAAAAAGGGGGAACTGTGCCCTTCCCCCAGCCTTGAGCGGGCCTGAGAGACCTTGTTTACTGTGAGGAGCGGGTACGGCAGCCAGTCCAAAATGGCGCCTGATTTCCTCATACACCCTTGGAAAGCCCCGTCAGCACTTAGCACTGCGCAGACTCGCTGCTCCGTAAGATCAGACCATCTAACGAGCGCTGCACCGAGCCAATTGAGAATGCATTCGTGGCAGAATCTGCGTGGTGCAGGCAGGAGATTTAAAGACCATGGAGAGAGGCTCAGGGGCCGTTGGAGAAGAAGACAGGGTTCCTGAATAAACGGCTTCGAGAAGAGCTCCGTGTGTTGCCTTTTCATTCTGCGGGTCGGAGTGGGTAGTGGGTAGCGGGTAGCAACAAATGGTGGCCCGTACGGGGAAGCTCAAAACTCATTGCAGTCAGGGCAGCTAGCTGGTAAGTTCCCAGGTAAGTGGGACAAGGACAAGTTCTCGGTAAAGAGACAATAAGGTTCCCAGTTGTGGGACAAGTCACCCCAAGCACCATGGGGAACTCATCTTCTTCAAGTAATATGAGCCAAGATCTTCAGAGTTTGTTGAAAAAGAAGGGGACTGGACCAAAAAGGGCTACATAGGGAAACTTTGTTTCCGGGGTAAAAAAAGACAGGTCTCTGTGTAGTTTATGTGCAAATGTTTAAAATTCAATTTTGTTTACTTAAAAATACAAACATCTGTATCTGGGGAGGGAAGCATATAACGATAGTGTTTGCCCGGTAAACATTTTAAGTCTACAATGATGTCACTCAGTGTTCGCATCTCAGTGGCCACTTGTTCCAGTTGGACTGCTACTGCTTCCTTTGTTTTAAAGGTTTTTGACTTGAGTGTGCAGATAAGAAAATGTTTGAATGATAGATTATCTACTGTGGAAATTCTATACATCAGCAACTATGAGTTTAGGGTTATCTTTAAAGATTGAATAGTGCTCGTGTTAATTTGATCACTTTGGTTTAAATAGAACTAACATTTTGCAATTTGGAACTGAAATTAACTACCAAGGTCCATATAAAGTGAACCAACTCGTTCATCCATTTTTTTCAAGTGTAATCTGTAATTACTGAATTAATAAGAACACAGAATCATAATTGGTAAAAGTTGCAACGATTCTAATCTAGCCTATATTGCACTTGAGAAATTCCCTGTATGCATGCTGTCATAGAGGTTTGCTTCTGGTATCAATCAACCTAATTAAAGGTCTGTGTTCTTAAATGGTGCCATTTAATAGATAAAATGTAGACTGTATAATTTTATATTTTCTAGTAAAAACCACATTAAAAGCTAACAAGAAATAGAGGAAGGTCATTTTAGTACCTTTTTTATTTAATCTACCAGTATATCTAATGTGTTATTTCAGTGTGAAATTGGCACAAAAAATTAATTGGGAGATATCCAATGGGTTAGCCCTTATCTTGGTTTGTCTAATAAACAATTGCAGCCATTGTATGATGTCTTGCCTGGTGACCCCGATTTAAATTCTCCTACAAAGCTTACTGCTGAAGCTAAAATAGCTTTGCAATTGGTAGAAGAGAGAATGCAGAAAGCAGCTTTAAAGCGTAGAGATGAACCCCAAGCAATTTTATTATGCATCTTGCCTACTGAGTGTCAACCTACAGGAATATTGTGGCAAGGAGCTCCTTTGCTTTGGATTCATCCAAAAATTTCTCCAGCTAAAACATTAACCTATTATCCTACAGCAGGATGGTTTCTGCCCCCAGCCGGCTGAAGCAGGAAGGAACTCTGGGGGTGGGGGTGGGTTATCCCCTTCAAATTAGAAGCTGAACATTAAAGCATTGAGCCTCGATCAGAAACCTTTGTCCTGGCTTCATCTCTTCCTGCCCTCCTGTCCCTTCTTCCATTCCCAGCCTCTCTTTCAGGTAAATCCAGTCGACTGTGGCCGCTGGCCCTCAATAGTTTCAGAAGTTTTGAATGGCACCTGAAGAAGACATTCTTTAATAACATTAAATAAAGATTCAAGAAAAAAAGTTTTATGCACATCTTTAGGCATAATGGTTTTGTGAAGATTGACCATGTATTAGTCAAAATGCTTGATTTTTCTGCCCCCATATGTTTGTGCCTTCCAGAAATGGCATTGTAATACTGATTCTTAGACTCTCCCATCTCAAGTTTGTGTAAACATTGTTCCCCATTTATGCTCTA